AGCCCTGGTACCGGCTATCTTTCATGACCTGAGTGTAAAGCAGGTTCTCCATGGCCGCATGAAGGGACTTCTGAAGGAGAACATGAGTGTGAAGCAGGTATTATTACCAACATTGAAGATATTCATCTGTTAGCCTCTGTGACCTTTCACGACTAGTCAAGGTGCTGAGTTAGAAAGGTTTCGTCTGGGCTCACTCGTCAAAGACAGCCTGAGGGGGTCATCAGCCCCACAGGCAGCCACACGGTGAATCTGGACAACAGAGGGGCATTTCGTCGGTCTTCCTGCTCCCCAGGCGTACACAGCTCTTTCCTATCTCGGTGCTTCATGTATTTACTAATCTCATTTCCTCTACAATAGGATCTTCTCTAGTTCTTAGGGGCCCACTCTTCCTACAAGACACAGCTATGAAGCTCTCTCTGATTTTCTTCTCTTCAACCTCACTGTATGTAGTTAGCGTGATCTTTCAACGTCTCTGTTGTCTTCAGGCACTCAATAATCCTGTGACGATTGAATTATCTTATGGGTAGTCTTAGGTAGGTTTCTGAACCTTCCTAGATGGATGTTGTCCTAAAGATGGTAGGTTTGGAGAGACGTCACCTCTTGTACCTTTTTAAAGAAAATGACCTTGGCCTCAGAAAGAGGCAGTTAGTTGGGAATTCCAACTGCCTGCCCTTCAGATTTTCTGAGCAGGCTTCTGATTGGGGCAGCAGCTGATTGGCTGTTACCAAAGTTAAGTGGACTCCTAGACCAGTAAACTGAAAATTCAGCTTTTCAGGACTTCTTTCTCGACTTTTGTGGGAGAAAGCTTGGGAAAACACAAAATATAAAAGTGCAACCAGTCAGGCATCCCATTAGGAGGGAATTACAGTAAGAAATAAGGACCCCCATAGTGTGAGTTTATAATATATAACTGTTCCATGATAGTGGAGTAACTGCAAATGGTGGGGGAGATAGGTTCTTTCTTTGGGGACAATTCCCAATATTTACCTGGTGCCAGAGAAGAAAAAATGTCCAGATATGTGACTTATATCTGACAATTATGTAAAACTCATAATAATTATATGGGAATGATAACTGGAGGTAATTTAACTACTAAGAGGCCAGGAGGGGAGTGTGATGAGGATAAAGAACTTGCTTCAGTGTATAAAGATATGGATTCTGAGCTAGTATTTATTATGTGCTTATTCATTGTAAAGTAGCTATTAGATGTTTTTAATATATTCATTTATTTTTTCTTTTTAAATGTATTTTTATTGTTGATGGCATTACAGATATTTCCCATTTCCCCCTTCCTCCCAGCCTCTACACACCTCACCCAGGTCTTCACTATCCTAGTTCTCACAATGACCCTGTGAAGTGTTATCCCTATTTTACTGAATAGAAAATGAGCTTGTAGAAGTTAAGTAACTTCCCAAAGATTCAGCATGTCAGCGGGCAGGGCTGATCATAAGCCGAAGGCTGTGCCTTTTCCTTACCATGAGATGATTATTGAAGGAAGATAGTACCGCACTGAGAAAAGTTATACTATTAAAGAATGAGACTGATGTATGTATGGAGCAGAATCATGGTGGATGGATTTAGCTGTTTTGGTGAGAGTTCAAATCTAATCATGTATTTTATATCTTCACTTTTTAAAATTTTCACTTTGTGGCATCTTTGTATGCTGACTAGATCTATTGTCACTAGTTAGTAACAGACTTTGAACATTTTACTTCATGCCTCATGTATCAACTCTAAAGTACTTTCCATCTCTAAATGTATATCTCTCTCTCTGTGTGTGTGTATACATATCTATAATAATAAAAGCATAATATGCTAATTAGACTGGATGTCCTTCAGGACAACCTTCCAGCTGAAGCTGGGGCTGCGAGGGAAGCCCAGGTCCTGGGTGCCAGAGGGAAGCTGGTACCGGCAGCCGGAGCAAGGAAGGCCTAGTCTTGCATGAATTTCGAATATATGTGTGGGCTGAATTGCTAGAATAAGGGGACATGAAGCTGGTGGCAAAACCATAAAGAACCCAAAGATTGCACCTTAATAGTCTCTCTCTCGAATTATGTTTTCTCATGTTTCCTTTTTCTTAATGAAAGCATGAAGAAAACTTTTCAAAGTAAGTTTTTAGTTCTTTGGTCAAAGATAGATACAACCGCCGAACTGGTTTGGCTCAGTGGATAGAGCGTCGGCCTGTGGACTGAAGGGTCCCAGGTTTGATTCCGGTAAAGGGCATGTATCTTGGTTGTGGGCACATCCCCACTGTGGGGTGTGCAGGAGGCAGCTGATCGATCTCCCTCATCTATGTTTCTAACCCTCTATCCCTCTCCCTTCCTCTCTGTAAAAAATCAATAAAATATATATTTTTTAAAAAAGATAGATACAATCAAATCCATGCAAATAAAATGAGAGATTTTAAAAATATTTATTTGAGAGAATTGACGTGGAACAACTTTGAGGATAACTTAATAACAGATCATCCAGCCCAGTCGGTGTGGCTCAGTGGTTGAGCATTCACCCATGAACCAGGAGGTGACGGTTCGATGCCCGGGTTGCAGGCTCAATACAGAGTAAGGGGCATGCAGGAGGCAGCTGATTGATAGAGTTTCTCTCTCATTGATATTTCTATCTCTTTATCCCTCTCTCTTCCTCTCTCTCTCTAAAAATCAATAAAAACATATTTTAAAAAAGGAAGAGAGAAAGAGTGCCTTAAACTGCCTCCTTCTGAACTTTTCTCCCCGACCAACTAGGAATCTTGGTTTTGACCCAAAGATTGCAATAATGACTTATTCCTTAGTGGAGGGGACCCCAGGGGACAGCAAAAATAAAATAATAGGTTATTCACACTGGAGTGCTGGAGCATAATACATTTTAGTCAGTTTTCCAGGGGTGAGGAATGCTGAGGGGTTCTAATGGTGTTTCATCACTGAACTTGAATGTTTAGCAAAATAATACAAGATTGTCCTGGTAAGGGCACTATTTCAAAGTTTGACTGTGATAACCTCTCCATTTAATTTTAAATTTATTCCTACACCCAAAATATAATTAAGTATAGCACCATGCTGATATAATTTTGATGAACCATTTATTTCCTCTTCCCTTGTGAAAATAAGTTGTTTTCTTTTAGGTACAAAAAATGCACTTCAAAAAGAAATTCTCCCCTTTGAGGATAAATGTGATGGAAGGAGGTTTGACTTGGGGTGGTGAACACACAATGCAATATACAGATAATGTATGATAGAATTTTACACCTGAAACCTATATAATTTTATTAAGCAACTAGAGGCCCGATGCACAAAATTCGTGCAAGAGCAGGCTTTCCTTCCCCCAGCTGCCAGCACTGGCTTCCCTCTGGCACCTGGGACACGGGCTTCCATTGCAGTCCCGGCTTCATCCAGAAGGACGTCCAGTCTAATTAGCTGGGCACATCCCCCGTGGGAGATGTGCAGGAGGCAGCTGATTGATGTTTCTCTCATTGATGTTTCTAACTCTTTGTGGCCCTCTCTTCCTCTCTGTAAAAAATCAATAAAATATATTAAAAAAAAAAAAAAAGAATAAGCCTTTCCCCCCCCAGCTGCCGGCACTGGCTTCCCTCTGGCACCCGGCTTCATCCGGAAGGACGTCCAGTCTAATTAGCATATTATGCTTTTATTATTATAGATGTCACCCCAATAAATTCAATAAAAATTTCTTCCCTAACTATGTGATAAGGACCGTAAATTTCAAAATCCAACACTGTTTGAGCTTTCATTGTCAATGAAATGCACTGAATCAAGCACATCAGGTTTGAGGGAGGAGAAAACATCAGTTAAATTTAATTTGCTCAGCAGTTGTCAGGAGCCGCACAAGACCTGGATTTTACTCTCCCCACAACTGAAAAGCCAGTGTGTTCCCATTTCTTGGATGCTGGCAAAAGACACAAGACCCCCTCCATCTCAGGCAAGGTCTTTATCACTCACAGCAAAAGCAACAGCCAGGCATCAGCATGATGCTCACTCCAGTTCCCCCTGCCCCTGAGGCCCATGGAGTGGCTATCTATTATGGGTGGTGCATTAATTTACCGGGGCCACTAAGCAAAATAGCACAGAGTAGGCAGGCTTCAACAACAGACATCTGTCGTCTCACCGTTCTGGAGGCTCCGAATTTGAAATCAAGGTGTTGGGACGTGGATTCCTTCTGAGGGACACGAGGGGAGGATCTGCCCAGGCCTCTCCTTGGCTTGTCGATGGCTACCTCCTCCCTGTGTCTTCACATCATCTTCCCAGCATCCAAATTTCCCTTTCTTATAAGGACACCAGTCATAATGGATAGAGCCCACCCCAACGTCCTCATTTTAACGTAATCACCTCTATCACGACCTTTTTCTCCAAATACAACCACATTGTCAGGTACTGGGGTTTAGGACTCCAATATGAATTTTCGAAGGGACGCAATTCCGCCCATAACAGAGGTTCACTTACACACATAGTGGGCGCATTACAGGAGAGGAACACTGACCTTGGGAGATTCACCATGGAAACAAGCCTGCTCTTGTCCAGGGAAGAGAGCCTCGTCTCTCAAGGTTTCTCATGACAAACACAACTCAGAAAAGGCGTGAGCGAAGAGTGGCCAGGGCCTTGCATTTTGGGCGCATGTGGATGGTCTCTCCCAAACACACTGCAGTCAGAATCTCCAATTGAGGTACAGCTACACTGCCCTCGGCGTCTTTAAGTCAGGCTCTGTGTGTACGCAGTTATAGAATTGATCACGCCTCTCCAGAAGCCATCTGCATTGAAGAAAAACCTGAGCCATACCTCTTTAGTTTGCAATAATTATAAATATCTTTAATACCAAGTAGGGAGTAAATGTAGAGCTTAGTAAATGTAGGGAGTAAATGTTACCTGCTTTTGTCACATAAATATTGTTAACTTAAAGGAAGAGATGTTTCTACACTAGGTAGCTGTTTTGAGCAAAGGAACTCAAAAATATGTTCAGAGTTATCAAATGAAAATAATTCTTATTTCTTCCAACAGATGGAACTGCTACTGTTCTATGTTATAATTTTGCTTTTGAACATGTTTGATTTTTCATCAGGAATAATATATAATAGTAAAGGTAAGTTTAAGACTCTCTTACTCTCTATTTTCTTCTCAGGAGTTCTTTATATCCCTTCCTTGCTAACAGTTAACAATATTTTTCTTTTAGTATTTCTTCATTGCCATATCTTCCACTGTTCCAAGGTATTATCTGTTGTACTCTGGTTCAGAGGTTTCTAATAATACCACTGTGAATGTGTTGTTAAGTTGTGTATGTTGAGACTTTTCTTTTGTTATAGTATTTCATTACTTAGAAGTCATAGACTCTTTAAAATTTAAGGAGTATTTTATATTTGCAGAACTTTATTTGAATAGATCTTTTGAATAGATCTTTTTTATTTTCTGTCGATGAATAGTTGCTGGTAGTATGAATTATAAACTGAATTATAAGGCTAGTAGATTAAGATGGAGAAATTTTCTGATATACAGTGACCTTTGAACAACATGGAGGTTAGGGGAGCTGACCCCCTGCAATCCAAAAATCTGAGGATAACTTTTGACTCCCCCCAAATTTAACTCCAGTGGCCCCTCGGTATCTATAGGGGATTGGTTCTAGAACCCCCATGGACACCAAAATTCACAGGTACTCAAGTTCCTTCTATGGAATGGTATAGCTTGTAGAACAGCAATTCTCAACCTGTGGGTTGCGACCCCTTTAGTGGTCGCCTAAGACCATCCTGCATATCAGATATTTACATTACGATTCATAACAGTAGCAACATTACAGTTATGAAATAGCAACGAAAATAATTTTATGGTTGGGTCACAACATGAGGAACTGTATTTAAAAGGCCAGAAGGTTGAGAACCATTGGCTCTAACAAGATAAAGAGAGGATGGCCCTTAGACACAGAAACGTCTCGGTTCTACTCTGACTACTGTTGTGAGTTGGATGACCTTTGAGCAATGCCTTAATCTTCCTGAGTCTTGGTTCAATCTTTTTTAAAGAGGAGACAGTAAGTCATATGGCACAAGATGGCATGTAAACCCAGAGTCTGGCTCGAAGTATGTTACGAAAAGGAGTTAATTTCCTTCTGTTTCGCTTCTCTTCCTTTAAAGAGTCTATTCATTAGGCAATGGAGTGTCAGTAAAGATTTTTTAAAAAGCAGGTAAGTGATTTGGACTTTAGAATCAAATTATAGCTTTAAAAAATAAACCTGGCCCTAACCGGTTTGGCTCAGTGGATAGAGCGTCGGCCTGTGGACTAAAGGGTCCCGGGTTCAATTCTGGTCAGGGGCATATGCCTTGGTTGTGGGCATATCCCCAGTCGGGGGCATGCAGGAGGCAGCTGATCAATGTTTCTCTCTCGTCAATGTTTCTAACTCTCTATCCCTCTCCTTTCCTCTCTGTAAAAAATCAATAAAATATATTCTTTAGAAAAAATAGATCTGGCAGCATTGTCAGGTGTGGGCAAAATAAATGTATGGGATGACCTTGAAAACTGTTTAACAGTATAACCTCAGAATGTACTTTAAGCCATATTTGTGATACTTGTATTAGGGTTTTCAGAGTCCCCTCCCTTTCATTAAACTACTAGAAGCCCAGTGCACGAAATTCATGCACTCGGGGGTTGAGGGGGTCTCCTTGGCCCAGCCTGCGCCCTCTCGCTGCAGTCCAGGAACCCTCCGGAGATGTCTGACTGATGGCTTAAGCCAGCAGTCAGACATACTTCGTGCTGCCACGGAGGGGGAAAGGGTCCCACCACTGCCACTGTGCCCGTCAGCTGTGAGCCTGGCTTCTCCTGCTTTGAGCAGGATCGGGCTGAAACCAGCTCTCAGACATCCCCAAGGGGCCTCAGATTGTGAGAGGGCGCAGGCCAGGCCGAGGGACCCCACTGGTGCACAATCAGGGCTGGGGAGGGACACAGGAGGTTGGCCAGATGGGGAGGGACCATGGGAGGGCTTCAGGGCGTGTCCAGCCCATCTCGCTCAGTCCTGATCGGCTGGACCCCAGCAGCAAGCTAACCTACCAGTCGGAGCATCTGCCCCCTGGTGGTCAGTGCACATGATAGCGAGCAGTTGAATGTCCTTAGCCTATCATTGGCATATTATGCTTTGATTGGTTGAACAGATGACTGGATGACTGGACACTTACCATATTAGGCTTTTATTATATAGGATGGAAATGTCTTATCTACAGTTCTAAGAAGGGCTAAAGCTTCTCTATTTTGATTGGTCACCGATTCCTCTACCTGCTCCTAAAAATCCAGCTGTGCCTTCAAATTCTTTCTGCTCGGACCTACTTGCCACTCAGACCTTTGAGGGCAAGACCCTCGGTGCCCCAAAGCTAGTGGCCCATGGGAAGCACTCATGCACTTTTTGCGCCGGAAAATTTGGTTTGTGCAGGACTCCAACATAGCCCCCTCCTTCCCATAAAAACATCTCCTATCCTCTCCACCAAATCATCTCTTGGCTTTATCCAAGCAGGAGTCTGAGTTTATACCCCGAATTAAAGGAATACATGCTATATTATTCAGTGGTCCCATCAAAGCCTCTTTTCTCAGGTTAAAGATAAGGAGAAGGACGAGAGGATCCTGGAAAGGTAGCAGAGCAGGAAGCACCAGGAGTCCATCCGTCTCCCCTCCAACTGTGCAGGCAGAGTCTGTCGATGTAACTATTTGGAACCCTGAAATCTCCTGAAGGCTTGGACAGTAGACAGTAGTTAATTTTAGTCACTGCCCACTCATCGCAGTAGAAGCTCCCCACTCACCCACCACCCTCACCCCATGGCAGGCAGCTGCGCGGTGTTTCTGGGGCAGTTGCACACGGCGTGCAGAAGCCAGGGGAGGCAAAAGGGACCCTGTCTTGCAGATATTGGGGCCTTGTGCCCTGATTGCTGACTGCCGGCGCTGACCGTGGAAGCAGGAAGCCATGTTCTTAGCCACCCACCCCCACCCTTTTGTAGCCAGAACCTCTCCCTCTGGCTGAAATTATTTCCAGGGGACTTAAAGGGCCAGTGTCCTTTTCCCAGTCTCTTTTATTTTTTACTTTTTTTCCCTTCTGGGAGTCAGACATTAAGGATTAGGACATAAAAAAACAAAACTAAAAAAAAACTTCTTATATGGGAAAATTAGAAAGTTGCTGCACATGCCCAGGCAAACATGCTGGCTCAGAAAAGACCTGAGAAGACCTTACATGTACACTTCAGGCTGATCCTATACACAGAGACAGCCTCCAACAACATTAAAGCGAATAGTAAACAAAATAACACAAAAAGCAAACACTGGGGAATGGGAAGAATCTGATTTATAGAGTTAACCCATAATTAGATTCAATTGTTTAGTTTTCAACAACAGCAACAACAGACCATAAGGTATACACACACAAAAAGAAAACAACAACAACAACAACAAAAAACACACAAGAAAGCATGGCCCATTCAAAGGGAAAAAAATAAATCACCCGAAACTTTTTCTGAAAAGCAGATCTACTATGCAATGGCTTTAAAACAACCATCGTAAAGATGTTCAAAGAACTAACGAAAGAGGTGGAGAAGGCTAACAAAACAATGTATGAACAAAATAGAAATATTAATAAAGAGATACAAAACCAAAACAGAAACCAAAAAGAAATTCAGGAGCTGAAAACAATAACTGAAATAAAAAATTCACTAAAGAGATTCAAAGGCAGATTAGACGATGTAGACTAAGGAATGAGTGAATTTGAAGATAGGACAAAGGAAGTTATTGAGGTTGAGAAGCTAAGAAAAGAGACTGAAGAAAAGCCAAAAGAATAAGAACCTGTGGAACACCATCAAATGGACCAGCATATACATTATGGGAATAACAGGAGAAGAGAGGGAAAG